GTCTCTGTTGATGCAGGAGTCAAATACGACACTTCTGTTTGTGGGAACTGCAGTCACTGATCTCATCCACCGCCATCATCTGCTTCATCACTACAGGAGCCCTGAGAAGATGTCATTTTCAGACCCTTGAGGTCAAAGCTTCATGTCTAGCTATTAATGTAATCAAAATGGTGTTAATCATCTTAACTTGAAGGAGTGGGTGTGATGTGGTTGTATTTTTCTCATGCTCCTCTCCTCACATATTTTGATGGCAGCCATAAACTAAGCCTTATCTGTTGACTACTGTATTTGTTAGTCAGGGGATGATTTGGATTTGTAATCTGAGATGCAAACGTCTCAGACCTGAATCAAACATGTCATCCGCAGTAAATTAGCATTGACCTTGAAAAGCCCAGGGACTCTAGAGTCTGAGGTCATGAGGAAAATACACGCAAACACATATTAGAAGTTTTTCTTTATGGTTGTTCAGCTTCAGACAGACTGCAGCGAAGCCATTACTGCATTTCTCAGAAATACTGTATAGATGTGACAACTGAATTGTTGTTTTAATCATATTTTAGCTTTATTTCAGTTCACTAAGTCTTTTATCTTTTCTTTTGTTGTGATAAATAAAAAAATGCATGTAAAAAAATAAATGTAAAGTGCTGTAATTATTACTTATATTATATATATATATATATATATTTTAACTCTCAGTTCACTTAAATAGTCCTTCGGTATGATAAATTAATTTAAAAGTATACATGTAATTATAATAATTAAAACAAATTGTAGATGCTCTTCAAATTTAGTACACTATTTTAATACTATATGTATGCATACTGTATGTATACTATATGTATTAAAGAAGCCTCTTATGCTCACCTATGGTGTATATTTATTTATGTATTTATTTATTTTTATTTTTTACACATATACAGTATACATCATTATGAAATGGTTATGAATTGTTGTTTACATATATCTGAATTAATTTTAATTATAATTATTACAATAAATGCATTTAAAAAATCAACATGGTTGCTGTTTGCAATTTTATGTTTATAATTGTTCATTGCAATGATGCATATCATGAATTTATTTATCTATCTATCTATCTATCTATCTATCTATCTATCTATCTGTCTATCTGTCTATCTATCTATCTATCTATCTATCTATCTATCTATCTATCTATCTATCTATCTATCTATCTATCTATCTATCTATCTATCTATCTATCTATCTATCTATCTATCTATTTATTTCC